GGATGTCAATTACTAGTGTTTTGTCATGTTTTTCTAGCACTTTGTATGGGCCTGAGTAAGGCTGGCGAAGAGGAGGTCGGTTTGCGTCGAATCTTAGGAAAACATGTGTACATTCCTTTAGCTCTGGATGAATGAAAATTTTCTGTGTAGATTGAGCGGAAGTTGCTAACGGTTTCAGGTTGCCCATGTGTGTTTTTAGTTGACTGGCAAATGATTTGCAAGGAACTCGTGGGGTGTTGGGGCTAATGATGTCAGCTGGTAATTTTAATGGGGTACCATATAACAGTTCGGCTGCTGTTGTGCCTATATCAGCTTTAATTGCTGAACGAATTCCCAGGAGGACTACTGGAAGAGCGTCTTTCCATTTGGAGGATTTGTGTGCCATTAGCGATGCCTTCAGGTGGCTATGTAATCATTCTATTAAACCATTTGATCGGGGATGATATGCTGCTGAATGGATGCGATTGGTGCCGAGAAGTCTGGTCAGTTCTCGGAAGAGGTTTGATTTGAACTGACGTCCTTGATCGGTTGTGATGGTAGTATCCGAATCTTGTGATCCAACCTGAGAAAAAGGCTCGGCATACTGTCTCAGCAGATATGTCGGCAATTGGGATGACCTCTGGCCATCTGGTAAAACGGTCGATCACTGTAAGGCAGTAGTATTTCCCGTCAGCTGGCGGAAGTGGTCCTATCAGGTCCATGAAGGTGGGAAAATCTTGCTTCCGGAAGTGTAAACTTCCCTATTGGTGTCCAGGCGTGGCAGTGAATTTTCGATTTCTGGCAGGGCATGCAATGTCGTGCCCACTGACGGATGTCCTTCCGCATGCCCGGCCAAACATAATTGCTTAAAATTAGCTTAGTGGTTGCTGTTGCTCCTGGATGAGAAAGTCCATGTAGATGATTGAATATGATTTGTCGGAAATTATGTGGCACGAAGGGGCAAGGTATTCTGGATGATGTGTCACAGTATAGGTCGATTTCGTTAGGTGGAAAGGATTTCAGCTATAATTTGAGTGACATAGGATCCTTTAACAATTGATGAAGTTCCGAATCTGTAGCTTGCGATGTGGCTAGCTCTCGGAAGTCTAGAGGGGAAGCAGAGGTGATAGAATCTATCTCGATGCGGGAGAGAGCATCTGCTATCGTGTTGGCTGTGCCCGGAATATGATGTATGTCCGTAGAGAATTGGGATATAAAATCGAGATGCCGCATTTGTTGAGGTGAACGTTTATCTGGTTTTTGTTTGAAGGCATATATAAGAGGTTTTGGATCCATGTAGATCGTGAATTCGTGGCCTTCTAACATGTAGCAAAATCGTTTTATTGATGTCTATATTGCCAATAGTTCTCTGTCGTAAGCTGACCAGTTGCGTTGATTTGGTGCCAGTTTTGCTGAGATAAAAGTGATGGGTTCCCATTTCCTGTTGTATTGCATCAGTGCTCCTCCAACTGCTGCATCTGATGCATCTACCCATATGCATAGTTTAGCTCTGGGTATTGGATGGTGGAGAAGTGTGGCTTTGGCCAGTGCTTCCTTGGCTGATATAAAGGTTTGTTCTGCTGCTTCTGACCATTGCAGAGATCGTGATTCTGCTTTCTGAGTGAATGATGTATGTTTGTCGTTCTTTTTCCTTCTAGTAGCTGCACTAGCAGGGCGAGGATGTGTGCCGCTCGAGGGATGCATCTCCTGTAGAAATTTATTATGCCTAAGAATTGTCTAAGTTGAGTGAGAGATGAAGGTTTGGGAAATTCTTGGATGGCTCTGACTCTATAAGGAAGTGGTTCCAGACCCTTTTCCGAGACTTTGAATCCAAGAAATTCGATTATTGGTATGCCGAAGGTACATTTTGACGGATTTATGGTTAATTCATATTTCTGGAGACGTTGGAATAAAGCACGAAGATGCAAGATGTGTTCTTCCTGGGAGTGTGATGCTATTAGTATGTCATTGACGAAAGCATATGCAAAGGAGAGTCCTCTGGTTACTTTGTCAATGAACTGTTGAAATGTTGCGGATGTGTTGCACAATCCGAATTGCATCCTGGTACTCTCGAAAAGACCAAACGGTGTCGTTATAGCTGTTTTGTGCGCGTGCGGTGGGTAGATGGGCATCTGATGATAGGCCTTGTTTAAGTCTATGTGAGAAAAGATTTATGGTTTGTGCGTTTATAGCACGATAATCTCCCACGGGTCGCCAATCCGAACTGTTTTTCTTGGTGACCATATGGAGTGGTGATGCGTAATTGCTTTTTGATGTTCACATATGGCCGAGAGCCATCATCTTATCGAATTCAGCCTTAGCAATTTTAAGTCTGTCGGGTGCTAGGCGACCTGATAGACTTAAAATGATTTAGTCATGTTAAATGACCTTTCTCAAGAAAAAGAAAAAACAAAATAAAAAACAAGAGGTTAAAAAAGAATGTAAAAATCAAACACTTAGTACAAATGCAAAAACAAACAGGCTATGGTAGAGAAAATTCTCTCAATTCCTGCTGAAGAAGCCACTGCTGTGTGCAGCTGTGTAACCAATTTTAAAAAAGGTTCATCAATTCTGTCACATAGTGACTGCCACCATGTAAGAGGAGTGATATTAGTTAGCACAGACTCTGCAAACATGTGTTGCAGAAATGGACTAGTTTTTGCCAAGTATTTTAAAACTGAAGGCACAGTATTTGGGTAGTGAGCGTGGCACACAGTTAGTGCAGCATCCTTTATACTGTTTGTGAGCTTTGCACCCTGGTATCTTGGGTCCAGAAGATTTGCTAAAAAGTGATAGTCTGTGATAGCCATATCAAATCTATCTTTGGCTGCTTGTGTGACTCCAGTGATCCCAAGTTGTTGCAAGTTATTTTGAACACTATAAAAGTAATAATATCATTAGATGTATAAAATTAATGAATTTAATGAACACAATTTTGAAATTAGATTGATTACAAAAAACAATTCTGGCTAATGTAACTTACCCAAACCATAATTCAATTCTTTCACTGATTGTGCAGTCATTTCTTTGCATTTTGTCTAATGCAACAGCAATGATCTTTAAACGTGTCAGAAAATCTTCAGCATCATGTTTAATTTCAAGGTTTTGAACTTTGGCTACAATATCCTTGTGAATTATGAGCCTGTTTTCATCGCAAACCTGTTAACATAAGATTTGTAACTGTTTTTAGGATTAAACACTTGATTATTCAATACTCATTGAGTACATGAGTAGAGTTAACTAGCATTAGAGTAAACAGTCAGTTTACAAAACAAAATAATCATATATTTCATCTCATTATTATTACTTGTAGAGTTTACCGTAGATCGGAATCCAATTTACTGTGTCCTTAATATATATGAATATATATTAAGGACACAGTAAATGACCAACACGTGCACGGAACAAAGGAAAAGTTTATTTTACCAGCGTAATGACCACTCTTCTCGACGGATACATAGACCAGAATGCCGAATAGCGGGAGTTCACACCTTTTATACCTCCCGCCCTCCGGAAGTCTGATTTAACACGTGTCCCAACTTGGACCAATCGGAAATCTCCTCCCATGGTACCTAAGCGGTGACATCATAATACACACATACGTGACATCGTATAAATGACAAAAACCCGATACAAAACAAAAAGGAACCCGACAAAAAATATATATATATACGTACAGTGGTGATATTCAGCGGGTTCGCACAGGTTCGGCCGAACCCGTTGTTAACATTTTCAAAGTTTTCCAAACCCGTTGTTAAACACACGTAACATTTCTCAGTGATTTTGTTTCTTTTAAAAAATATATTAAAATATACGTATTATACTCTGTAACACTACTAAACTAGAGCCTTATACCCTGTTCGCCTAGTGCAGGGGTCGGCAGTTTGTCAAGTGAGAAGAGCCAAATTGTCATAAAATTGTCAGGATAAAAAAAGTACCAGAGAGCCGCATATTAATTTAAATGTGCGAAATACGACACACGACAGGGGCGCCTCTAGTGGCCATTTTCGGCATAACGTTACACGGATGGACGGACACGCGTTCAATGGGTTATATATATATAGATATGCTTCAAATGCTACCACTCTTATGCGACTCATATTGATCAACACGAGTGTGGTCATGTGCGGACGGAGAACAAGTCGAAGTTTGTTTGGCGGCTCTATCTCATAAACTCATAAGTTATAAGGCTGCGGTGAGATGAAATTGGAAGAGCCGCAAACGTCCATGCAAAGAGCCGCTAATTTCGACCCCTGGCCTAGTGTAACCACCATCGACCATTTCAATCTCGACTAAAACGAGGTTCAATCACGATCGACTCGAGAGTTCTCGAAACTAGATCCAGTCATAAGAGAGATCCCACAATCCCACGCGCGCGAGAAAATACAAGATGACTGCGGAGCACGTGTTGGGCTATCAACAGCGAAATAAGAAAGATATTGTATTTTGAGAGACGATGACATCTGTNTAAAAAAGATATTGTATTTCGAGAGACGATGACATCTGTCTATTATTATAATAATACCTAACGATAAAATAAATGATTTAGAAAAGTTTTTCTTGTTTAACTGCTTTTCCTATGACTTTTTCTGATTAAAAAAAAGCCAATTTTTGTTTATAAAATATTTTGAATGAAAAATATTAAAATATGTATTGTATAAAATAAACCATTTTGAACACACTTTTTTATTATTTATAAAAAAATATAGTTCTGGCATAAACAATGTTAAATTTTAACTGACTTAATTTTGCGAACGCATCTTTTTTTATTTATATGGATATCTTAAGGTCAGTTTTTGCGCTAATGTTGCTAATGCACCATTTGAACAAAAAAACAAAAATTGTTAAGGAAAACTTTTCTGTTAGCGAACCCTTTGTTAAATATTTCGAATATCACCACTGTATACGTACATATAATAACAATCCATAGTTGCATAGTGCTACATATTGTAAGTATATTTGGTGTGTATTAACGTTGGAATTAGATTACGAAAAGGATTGAAACGGATTCTCATTCTCATGAACAGCTATATCAAACACGTCTTTATTGAATACAGAATGATGCAGAACTGACTGCAGAGTGCAGGCGTGCTACTAACTATATACATTTGAATTGCTATAGATGGCGCTGCTACATAGCATCATCCCCTCCTAAGGAGAAGTTACAAACATAGCTTGTAAGTATGTAGAAGTTTTACAATGTCTACGACTTGACTCTTGAGTATTAGAAGAATTTGAAGTTAAGGCAGTATCTAATGATGAATTTTTCATGTTGTCTTTCTGGGGAATATTTTCAACTATAGGATTATTTTCTTCTTCCCACCACAGCTGAAGAGGAACGAATGAAGATTTGAGGTTTGAGGGATGCAGATGATCGAGATCTCAGTTGATCAATATGACGTTTCCATATGGAACCATTAGGAAGCTCAATGTTATAGGTAACAGGTGAAAGTTTCTGAATAACTTTACCAGCTACCCAATATTCTTTACAACAAAAGTCACGAGCAAAAATTGTGTCTCCTATCATGAAAGAACGCTGTGGACGAACTACGTTGTTATCCGATAAGGTTAAAGGGCGCAACAAATCTAGTCTTGAGCGAAGTTTTCTGTTGAATAGCATTTCACTAGGTGTTTTACCAGTAGAACAGTGAGGAGTAGTACGATATGAAGTAAGGAATTGGAGGAGGGATGTCATTAAATCCTTTTCACGACTTAATTTTTTTAAGGACGACTTAAACGTTTTGATAAATCCTTCAACTGCTCCATTAGTTGCAGGATGGTACGGCGGAGAGAATGTCTGACGAATTCCGTTTTGTGCTAAAAACATTCTGAATTCACGAGATGTGAATTGAGGGCCATTATCAGAATGAACATGTAATGGAAGGCCATGACGACTAAACCAAGATCTAAGTGCCAGAATAGTAGCAGAAGAATCTGTGGATTGCATTATTTGAATTTCAGGATATTTAGTTTTTGCATCAATACCTATTAGAAACATTTTTCCAAGGAAAGGTCCAGCGAAGTCGATATGCACTCTACTCCAAGGTTCTTCAGGAATTGGCCATCTTAAAGTATTGGTAGAGGGAGGATTTCGATGGTATGACTGACATAAAATACATTCTTTCACTGTTCGTTCTAGATCACTATCAATGCCTGGCCACCAAACAATTGATCTTGCTAACATTTTCGATTTAACGATACCTTGATGTCTTGAATGTAATTCAATAAGAACATTTCTGCGAAATTTCTCAGGAACGAATATTCTATCTCCTATAAATATTATGTTTCCTTCTAGAGAAAGAGAATCCTTGAATTTAAGAAATGGCTTAACAGCTGTATTTACCTGATGCCAATTATTCTTAATGCACTTACGCAAAACATTGAAAAGTTTATCTGTACGAGATGCTTCTATAAAAGCACTATTGGTAAAAGGAAGGGAGTCAAATTGCAAATTAAATAATGAACTTGGAATTGAATTACTAAAATCTTCTATGAATAGATCATTAGTAGTATTTCTGGAAAGGCCATCAGCTATGATATTAGTTGCGGAAGAAATGTACTTAATTGTATAATTATAATCATTCAGTATGATGCTCCATCTTTGTAGTCTAGCAGCTACAATCTCATTCTGTCCTCTTTTATCACCAAAAATTGCAAGTAAAGGCTTATGGTCTGTTTCTAGAATGAAATGACGACCAAGAAGATATTGTCTAAATTTCTTGATACCAAAAATAATGGATAGTGCCTCTTTTTCTGTCTGAGAATATCGACGTTGAGCAGGCGAAAGTAAAGCATTAGCAAATGAAATAGGACGTTTTACATTGTCGATAATATGGAAAAGAACAGCACCAACACCAAATTGAGAAGCATCTGTAGCCAAATATAATTCTTTGTTAGGATCATAATGTATGAGAAGTTTAGCTTGTTTTAGTGAGTTTTTTGCACTTTGAAAAGCAGATTCATGCTCTTTTGTCCAGATCCAAGAGCATCCTTTACGTAAGAGTTTGTAAAGGGGGTGTAGGTAAGTAGACAGTTTAGGTACAAATTTAGAATAATAGTTCAACATACCTAGGAACGAGCGTAGAGAATGAACATTACGAGGCTTATGAGCTTTTAATATAGGATCCAGTTTTGAGGATAAAGGAGCAATTCCTTGTTTTGAAATATCAAATCCTAAGAATTTTACAGAATCTTGTAAGAATTTGCACTTTCGTTTGTTTAGTTTGATTCCTTCTGTTTCACAAATGGATAGAATCCTTTCAATATTACTCAAGTGGTCTGAATGATTTGTACCAGATGTAACCAAGTCATCAAAATATGGTTGCGTTTTTGGAATGGTAGAGAATAATTTTTCCATAGCTCTTTGAAATAAAGCAGGGGCAGATGCAATACCATATAAAAGACGATTGCACTTATACAATCCAAGATGAGTGTTGATAACCACTAAATTTTTACTTTCGTCATCCAATTGGAATTGGTTATAGGCATCACTTAAGTCAAAGGTAGAGAACTTCTCACCTCCAAGTAGTTTCATAGAGATTTCTTCCAAACGAGGAATTGGATGGACATCTATTTGTAACATCTTATTCAAGGTTAGATTGAAAAGTCCAGCTATCTTAACACTACCATCATTTTTAACTACTGGAATTATAGGTGTGGCCCAAGCACTGTTGGATATCTTAGAAATAACTCCAGCCTTTTCTAACCTAGATAACTCTGCTTCAACTTTATCCCTGAGGGAAAAAGGAACTGTCCTTGGCTTCAGAAAAATAGGATGTGCATCTGGTTTTAACGTTAAATGAAGGAATATTGATTTAGAACATCCGATGCCTTCAGAAAATACAGTAGAATATTTGTCTAGTAGAGAAAGCAGATTAGAGTTTGTATGAGGAATCTTGGGAGTAATACTATTGATTTTACATGAGAGCTTTAACTCTCGAATCCAATCTCTTCCAATGAGGTTAGCATTACCATGACGAACCACATAAAGACGAAGTTTATGGCGAGAACGATTGTAAAGAACTGGTACTATAATAAATCCTAATACATTCAACTTGAAATTTCCATATGTGCAAAGAAAATGTTTAGACTCATGTAAAGAAAAGGATGATAAGTCTCTGTTGAAAGTGGATTCAGAAATGATGGAAAGTGGGGAGCCAGTATCAACTTCAAAACTAATGTTCTTCTTATTAATAGAAAGAGTGAGAATAATAGGTGGAACTGGTGTGGAGACATCTTGAATATTGAAAAGATTTAAATAAGATGAATTATCTATCTCTAAGTAATCATTTGAATCTTTGTCAGTATGAGATAGTTGGTGTATGCTCACATGAGAATGTTTAGTTTTTCCACAAACCCTTGCAATATGACCAAGAATGCCACATTTATTACAGGTAAATGTTCTAAATCTACAATTCTCACGGGAATGATTTTTGCTTCCACAAGATTTACAGATGTAAGTACTGGTTTTCTTTGTTTCAAACTTAGTTTTATCTCTAGGACTATTCTCACTAAACTCCTTCTTTCTGTTAGAGAACTTTGTGGAACGAATTTTAAAACAATCGTTTTCGAGTGGCAATTTATTGAAACAACCTGCATCAATCAGAGCTTGTTCCATAGCAATAGCATAATTGATCGCTTTCTGGAGGTCTAATTCCGACTCTGTTTTTAGCAAATAGATTTGAACGAATCCTAGGGTCGTACAAGCCTGACACGAATTGATCTCTTAAATGTGAAGCAAGGGAATCTCCAAAATCACACTTTTCACTTAATGATTTTAAACCAACTATAAAATCGTTAATCGATTCTCCTCCTTTTTGTACCTGGCGAGTAAAATTTGCTCTCTCGGAAATTATACTAACTGATTTATTTTTATGAGATCTCATTATACTTTTTAAATCAGAAAATGTCTTCGTAGAAGGTTTATCTGGTTGACAAAGGTTCCTTAATAATTTATAAGCCACCGGTCCCATTTGACTAAGAAGAGTAGCCACCATTTTTCTATCATCGGTGATATTGGAAGCTATAAAGAATTCTTCCAATTGTTCAACATATTCATCCCAATCACTATTTACGTTGTATGGGTTAATGTTAATCGCATTTGCCATTTTCGAATAAAGGAAAGAAAACAATGAAAATAAGCAATTCGGTAACTGACGGGTCGAGGGTTCAAAGTCTAGCTGAAGATAGCCACGTGTTGACTTCATCGAATTGGTTGAGAAAAAATAAATAAACATCAGTATTCTTGAATAAAATTGTAGAAATGTATTATCTTTAATCCACCTCGTCACCAGAATTGGTGTGTATTAACATCGGAATTAGATTACGAAAAGGATTGAAACGGATTCTCATGAACAGCTATATCAAACACGTCTTTATTGAATACAGAACGGTGCAGAACTGACTGCAGAGCACAGGCGCGCTACTATATACATTTGAATTGCCATAGATGGCGCTGCTACATAGCAATATTATTACTATATTACTATAAGTAATCACAATTCAACACAATTAGTATATGCTTTATGAATTAGTGACTTTCCCCACGGTACAAAATAAGAAAATAAAAACAACTAAAAGTAATGATAGTACTTTCATTATGATAGGCCAGTTCTGAATGTATGACTCTAAGCAATCAGCTAAGCTGTTCCAAAGTATATCCTGTGGTAATATTAATCCTTTTCCACCTGCCTCTTTGTATTTGGCTTTTGGGAAATGATGATTCCAGAAGTATACAATGATGTGCTTAAGTTGTTCATTAACCTCTTTCATATTGATATCTTGAGCCAGTAAGTTTAAAATATGAGCATAGCCTCCATAAATGACAATATTTAAATTTTCTGTTATTGCTAATGTTTCTCTCATTTCTTTCATATTGCTTGCATTGTCATTTACCAGGCTTCTTACTTTACAGCCATACTTTTGATTGCATTTTTTTATTGCTGCAGTTGCAATAATTTCTTAGTAGTTTGGTGTGTGCACAGATACAGGTATCTGCACCTGTATCAACTCAGTCAATCAAATGAACTGTTCCATTAGAATCAGTCACACAGACATAAATCACTTATTCTTTATGGATATTACTCCACCCATCAATAGCCATACAGACTGTAATATCGTTTAACTCATCAGCTGATTCATTCTCAATGGAATTGTATACAGTGTCCAGCAATGGTCCCCCAATTTCCTTTCTCTGTGTAGGGTCATATCCAGGTCGCAACATCTGACAAAATTTTATAAATTTGGGGTGTTCTACATGACTAAAGGCTGAATTGGTGGCATATATAAATTTTGCGCATTGGAGATCCAATTGCATTCTTTCATTAGTTGACGTTTTCACAATAAATGAATCAATGCATTGCAATTTTACTTTGTTTTGTGATGCAGTGCCAATGCCACTAGTGGAGCCAGAAGTGATGGCGGAGTGCTTCTCACTGGTCTCAGACTCAGGCTCAGGCTCCTGCCTTTCTGACTTCTGCCAGTCTAAATAATAAATACAGTAACAATAAATTAATTACTTATTAGGTGTATGTTTTTAAAAGTACAACTATATACAGATGTGTGAAAATTATTAGACTCAAGTCGGACCAGTGCAATATAAAATGATACATTTTAGGATAAGAATCAAAAATAATACACTTTATGCATTTCTGTATGTTTAGCTTCTTGATAAACATACATTGTGAACTAAACATTTTGTATGTTTAGTTCACAATGATTACAATATGTAATTGTATACTATTGACTTTAGTTTCCGAGGCCTAATTAATTTCCGCTCGGAAAGTTTTTAATCTATTGATTTTTTTATATTAAATAATTATTTCCCCGTTAAAGCAAATCTGACAGCCGAAATAATTGCCAGTGAATAAGTACCCCCCAAAAACGTGTTTTTATAGAAAAACTATATGAAAAATTTAAAATAACCAAAAAATGCTTTTATTTGATAAATATAGCTGCAGGGATTGTTATTTTTTAATTTGATAGGCGTGAAAATTCACATGTGCAGTCTACATTGTTCACAAACCAGTTGACAGTATAACACAAAATTTCTGATTTTTATGCTATTAAAATAGGGAAGAAACTGAAAAAAGGTATATATAAAAAATTCTATTGAATAAAAAACAAAAACAACCTGCTGATGTCATAAAAATCATCCAATAGTATTTTTTAAAATTTTACCAAAGTCAAACGGTCCTATAAAAGTTTAGAACGATTTCATTAATTTGATTAAAAAAAACTCTCATAAAAACAATCAGGCAATTAATAAAATGTTATAAGAAACTTTTGTGGCAAAAGTAATTAATAAAATTTTCATGGGTCAT